GGCCCAACACGAACTTGCTTGTTTACATCTAGCTTTTGTTGCCGATTGATTGTCAGATTATTGGATTGCCACTGGATTCAACCCAAAAATAACCATCTATGGAGCTTCAATGAATGTCTGGGTAAGTTTTCTCCTGATGCGACTCGGGATCACGATTTGATCGCGTTAGATGTCTCGATCGAGTAATGGAACCGCGAAAATGTACAAGAGGGTGGAATTGCAACTTTCCCGAAATTACATTCTCTGACCTCGTTAATGAACAACACGATCTTAGGGGAGGCCAACAACCCGACAATCCCTTGTAGCCATGGATGTTCGGAGGATCTTGTTAGGTAAAATATTCACTTGCACGCCCAGTATTTATTAGTACCCAGATCTTGTCAGCGCATCTTTGTGAAAGGATTACACGAATGAATCTATTCGGCACGTCATGACCGCTGAACCCTTTTCTAGGATCCGGACAGAACCTTCCGTGATCAACTCTCAACGTTAGTTCTGTTTGTTATCAGCCGAAGCCGAAGGCTTCGGCTGATAACACTTACCTCGACCTTGATTATTCCGGATATCACAAAAACCTCATCCAATAATTGTTTGTTATCATATCGATTACCCTACTTCCTTGGTCACGTCTGAAATTTATTTTTCAACGGGTTCAGCTGTTGTGGTTTATTTCAAACTTTTCTAAAATTTATAACAAGTGATCAGGTGTAAAATATATTTAATTCTGTTTTTTTAATTCGCTTTCGCATGAACTATCTGTTTGTCTAGCTACGCGAAACTCTTCTAAAAAGCATTAATTTCACTTCCTGCTGAATTCTCCCCCAGCAAAATTATTCGATTTAGAAAGGCTGACCTGACATCAACGAACAAAGACCTGAAGACAGCCTGTCAGGGAAACTTCATTCAGACCCAACAATTAGTTTAAATGAAATTATAATAAGACAGGCGGGATATAATCCATGCATGATATACCTTCAATAGATTGTTTCGTCTAACAAGCAGTCATGGCTGCGCAGAAAACAGCTGCAGCTGTGTTGTTGATGCTGATGGGAGCTACGGCTCGTCTTTTCGCCGGTGGCTACTCCAGAAATGAGTTTGAGAAGTTTTAGTCTAGTTAAGAAGTAAAGGAAGTCTTATAACAAGCTGCAAAGATTATTACATAGTGCAACAGAACAAGATATGGCTTCGAAGGCGACAGTTGTATTGTTATTCCTGTTTGTTATCAGCCGAAGCCTTCGGCTTCGGCTGATAACACTTACCTCGACCTTGATTATTCCGGATATCACAAAAACCTCATCCAATAATTGTTTGTTATCATATCGATTACCCTACTTCCTTGGTCACGTCTAAAATTTATTTTTCAACGGGTTCAGCTGTCGTGGTTTATTTCAAACTTTTCTAAAATTTATAACGAGTGATCAGGTATAAAATATATTTAATTCTGTTTTTTTAATTCGCTTTCGCATGAACTATCTGTTTTTCTAGCTACGCGAAACTCTTCTAAAAAGCATTTATTTCACTTCCTGCTAAATTCTCCCCCAGAAAAATAACTCGATTTAGAAAGGCTGACGTGACATCCAACGAACAAAGACCTGAAGACAGCCTGTCAGGGAAACGTCATTCAGACCCAACAATTAGTTCAAATGAAAGACAGGCGTGATATAATCCATGCATGATATACCTTCAATAGATTGTTTCGTCTAACAAGCAGTCATGGCTACGCAGAAAACAGCTGCAGCTGTGTTGTTGATGCTAATGGCAACTACGGCTCGTCTTTTCGCCGAAGGCTACTCCAGAAATGAGTTTGAGAGGTTTTAGTCTAGTTAAGAAGTAAAGGAAGTCTTATAACAAGCTGCAAAGATTATTACTTAGTGCAACAGAACAAGATATGGCTTCGAAGGCGACAGTTGTATTGTTATTCCTGTTGGGTAATGCACGTTTTTCCGCCGAAGACAACGCCAAATTTTCGGCTCGTTTTTCCTTTTTTGAAAATAAGAGGCTGAAAGGATATGTTGCTAGACGGTTTGATTCACGCAGATTGTTATCATGCGGTCAGCAATGTCTCAAAAAAACCTGGTGTACTTCCATCAACTTCAAGTTTTCCACAAAGAGGAAAGACGAAGGAACTTGTGAACTGAACAAGCACGAGATGTCCATCGTTGACGAAAACAACAATTTTTCTGACGACAAAGGAACGACTTTCTCGCTGTTACATAGGGTCAGAATCAACTTTATATGTTCTCTTATAATTTTATTAATTTTTTATTTATTTACTCAAATTTAATTATACAGACTCTAACCTAACATACAAATTGAAGATAAATTAACAACTAATGAAAAAAGAAAAAAAATTTCACAAGATATGAATAATTAGGTCAGTTTATACAGAATTCGAAGATTCCTTATAACAACAAACTGCCTCAATTAAATTAGTGCTTATGGAACGATCACAATCTACCTTCGATGGGGGGAGGAGTTATAGGTCTTTTGTGTAACGAAAAATTATCCCCTTAAGCTCTGTAATATTCTTTAGACTCCCCCCCCCACCACCCTCCCCCTAATAATACTGAATATAAGCAAACCATAACGGCGACAGTAACGAGAACGTGGAAAAACAATAGATCTAATTGGCAGAACAATAGCCCAGCAAGTGCATTTTAAAACTTTGTACATTTCTTTGCCGTTCTTTGCAAAACAACAATGTGAAATCACCAAAATTTGCTTCGTCTGCGAACCGAAACCGCGGCGGCAAATTATTTTCATTTACATTTGGAACTCACCACTACTTTTACTCTTTATGCTGAGTTTGAGATCTGGCGCCCTATGAGACGGTAAACATATGCAGCCATTTTTGAAATTCTAATTAAAAGTAGAAACTCTTTTTTCAATCAACGTCTTCCGTGGCGTTACCGTCGTGACTGCTTAAGTTCCCTACTAGAAATTACCAATTCGCCTCACCACATGTGTATACTCCCAAGATCCCCTCCTCCTTGTTATAAGTTGAAACCAGCTATAATGATGCACTGACGGTACATCATTATATCATATTAATAAAATACACGCATGTTGTTCGCAATTTGATGGGAAAGGTGGACGATTTTCTATCATAAGGAAACCTCTAGATTAACAAACATCAGCTGTCATAATTCTTCGTCCTTTTCACATTTAGTTCATTCGCGAGCCTTTAGGTATCTGTGGGAAGGGCTAACAAAATAGAGCCTTAAAGATTTTCATGATTGGATCAAACGCCTCTTGGCTAAAAATTTTTTTTTTAAACATCCACACATTTCTCAGTATGTACTGATCTAGTTGATTTCAATCTGCTTGGAGGTTTAATTCTTACTCGCTGATAACAACAGGTTTGTGAAAAAGGATGGGTTCTCCATGCTCGATCATGTTACCTTGTCCTCGACGCCCCAACGCAGAGTTGGACTGAAGCCCGCAGGATTTGCAAGAGCCATGGGGGAGATCTACCAGTAATCAGATCTGCCGATGAGAACAAATTCATACGCAAGTCGGTGCAAGACTTGCGTGTATGGATTGGACTTTACAGAAAATCGGAAAATGAGTTTTATTGGATTGACGACACTCCTGTGACAAGCCAATTTTCTTCATGGGCAAAAAGAGAACCGAGCGATAAAGAGAATGAGGAATGTGTATATATGTATGCCGGAAAGGATCCTAAATTTGGAAAGTGGAATGACGCCCCCTGCGACTTTCCGCGTAAGTTAAAGATTGCGGCACCTTCAACTATTTGCCAGAGGGGCCTATTTTGATTCAACTCATCCACTGACCCCATCTTAGCGTTGCGTAGATCTGTTGTAACTTTTGTTAAAAGCGTCGAAATGGAGAGATTAAGAACGATTTAAGATGCACTTTGATCTGAGTAAATGGACTTGGCCCTCGTTGGCCTTTGTGAAGTTTCACTCGTAGGTTTTCTTTTTGTATCATTGATGATTTGGTATGTAGAGTTCCAAACACAGCTGTAACTTATTATTGTTACCGCGAAGTTAAGAAATAGGCAGTCTGTGAGTGCATGTATCTACGGGATTATTTATAGTTGATTGAATTGTGTTAGCTAATTATAATCAAAGAGTAGTTTCTTATATAGGGGGAGCAGATATTATTAAATGGAATGACCCAATTGTAACCAGAAGCAATTAATCGAGTAATTATATTATATTAGCACATTGACATCTGAACCGCCCGTAGCCGCCCGAACCACACAACTATCTTGCACGAGAACGCTATTCTCAGTTCTCTACCTTGATTCCCAACTGAGCAAAATTTTGTCCCCAAACTTTTTCTATTGTTAGGAGATCAACAAACCAATCAGAATATTTCGTTTGAGCATATATTTTGATGATTTTAGGTTTTACTGGAGGAGCATGATTCCATGCGTTCACACTAAAAGGTAAAGTAAAGTCTGTTTACCAGCCTAGTAGCCCATTAGGCCGGTGCTTAATTCTGGTTTCTTTTAGTATGAAGCGACTAGGAGTATTTCTACACCCCCCTGGATGAGATGCTAGTTCATCGCAGGGTTAACCCCAGCATTAAATTGCCGGTTCCCATTTACACACCTGGGTGGAGAGAGGCACTGTAAGAGTAAAGTGTCTTGCCCAAGAACTAAACCCTATGTCTCGGCCTGGGCTCGAACCAGGACCACTCGATCCAGAGTCGAACGCACTAACCATGAGGCCACCGCACCTCCACATAAGTAGTGTAGGTACTACGTTCACATCAAATGATCAAATTTGAAAATACGGCGTCCGCGTGGCTGACCTTCAAAATTATCAAGTCGGAGTTTTCGTTCCCGAGTTAGACCTTGTGGAACTCAGAATATAAAGTAGTAATGATGTAGAATACTCTGTTAGGAAAAATAATGGATATCAAGGCCTTAAGAGTCCCTGGCCGTAAATATCGAGAACCCGCCGGCAGTTGCAAGATTTCGTAGTTCATTTTATTTTTATTTTTTAAAGGACCCTTCTAATGAACCTATATCGAAAATTATATCATAAAGTTCCATCGCGCTTTTTTTCTACATAATCGAAAAGTTCAAAATACGCCTGGACAGCCGTTGTCCCCCCCGTAAAGCAATGAAAAAAAATGCAACTTCGCTAACTTCGTACGCTAGCTAACATCTGGCCATCAGGATCAAGGTTATGAAAGACTGTAACATAAAGATGAACTGAATCATCCATGCACTGATAACATATTAGATCATAATTTAATCACAACGTGGTACAAGCAATGATTTTTTTCCCCCACCATTTAATTCCATTTAGCATGGTAAGCTAAATTGTAACTCACTTCGGATTAAACTCTAACTGATCGGCGAATCCGTTCTGCATGATCAGTCCACGTACAGCATGACATTATTTCGGAGGGTAAAATGTAACATAGCTAGAGTTCAATTAAATTCTATATTAATGCGATCTAAAGACAGCAAGGATACCAACTCCGATTGTCTTGTTCTCAAGAGTCTCTCGTGTAACAGGCCGTCCCACCCGTTCTAATAATTCACGCAGTTCCTTCACTCCCATACTGATCAGCTGATGCCCCAAAACGAAGTTGCTTGTTTACGTCTAGATCAGACAGACAGACATCTATATTTATACAGGATAGCCCCTTCAGTGTAGTAAACACTGGTATCAACGGGGGTCCTGTTACCCACCTAACCCACCCCAGGGAGGACATCCATCACACAGTAATCTCGTGCGTGGGAAATTAACGTCTCCTACCCCAACCCTGCAGGAGACGGGACCTCCATTTATTCGTCCCTATCCGAGAAGACTAGAATATCTAANCCCTGGCTCTTTGAACTTTGTTGGTGTTGGTGACGACTGAATAAGACGGGAAAATAAGTAGAAAGGTACAATGAGACAGAAACTTACCAAATACTGAGGAAATCTAGGAAAAACAACACGCTTACACGGAAAGGGTTTAAACAGAACCCAAATAAACTGAATATGGCACTTTGGGGACGGTGTATTTACCTGAAACGCGAAAATAATGGTGATTAAATGAATAAATGAGAGCGAGAAAACAATACGCGCAAATTGATAAGTTTCAAAAGCATACGAGATGTGAAAGAAAATCGAGAAATTACCAATTCGCCTCAACCCATGTGTATCCTCCCAAAATCCCCCCCCCCTCCTTGTTATAAGTTGAAACCAGCTATAATGATGCACTGACGGTACATGATCACATGATATTTTTAAAATAGACGCATGTTGTTCACAATTTAATGGGAAAGGTGGACGATTTTCTATGATAAGGAAAACTCTAGATTAACAAACATCAGTTGTCATAATTCTTCGTCCTTTTTCACATTTAGTTCATTCGCGAGCCTTGAGGTATCTGTGGGAAGGGCTAACACAATAGAGCCTTAAAGATTTTCATGATTGGATCAAACGTCTCTTGGCTAAAAATTCTTTTTTTAATCATCCACACATTACTCAATATGTACTGATCTAGTTGATTTCAATCTGCTGGAGGTTTAATTCTTACTCGCTGATAACAACAGGTTTGTGAAAAAGGATGGGTTCTCCATTCTCGATCATGTTACCTTGTCCTCGACACCCCAACGCAGAGTTGGACTGAAGCCCGCAGGATTTGCAAGAGCCACGGGAGAGATCTACCAGTAATCAGATCTGCCGATGAGAACAAATTCATACGCAAGTCGCTGCAAGACTTGCGTGTATGGATTGGACTTTACAGAAGATCTGAAAATGAGTTCTACTGGATTGACGACACTCCTGTGACAAGCCAATTTTCTTCATGGGCAAAAGGGGAACCGAGCAATAAAAAGAATGAGAAATGTGTATATATGTATGCCGGAAAGGATCCTAAATTTGGAAAGTGGAATGACGCCCCCTGCAACTTTCCACATTACTTTAAGATTGCGGCACCTTCAACTATTTGCCAGAGGGGCCTATTTTGATTCAACTCATCCACAGACCCCATCTTAGCGTTGCGTAGATCTGTTGCAACTTTTGTTAAAAGCGTCGAAATGGAGTGATTAAGAACGATTTAAGATGCACTTTGATCTGAGTAAATGGACTTGGCCCTCGTTGGCCTTTTTGAAGTTTAACCCGTAGGTTTTCTTTTTTGTAATATTGATGATTTGGTATGTAGAGTTCCAAACACAGCTGTAACTTGTAATTGTTACCGCGAAGTTAAAAAAATAGGCAGTCTGTGAGTGCATGTATCTACGGGATTATTTATAGTTGATTGACTTGTGTTGGCTAATTATAATCAAAAACTAGTTTCTTATATAGGGGGAGCAGATATTATTAAATGGAATGACCCAATAGTAACAAGTAGCAATTAATGGTGTAATTATATTATGTTAGCACATTGAGATCTGAACCGCCCGTAGCCGCCCGAACCACACAATTATTTGCACGATAACGCCTTTCTCAGTTCTCTACCTTGATTCCCTACTAAGCAAAATTTTGTCCCCAAACTTTCTCTATTGTTAGGAGATCAACAAACCAATCAGAATATTTCGTTTGAGCATATATTTTGATGATTTTAGGTTTTACTGGAGGAGCATGATTCCATGCGTTCACACTAAAAGGTAAAGTAAAGTCTGTTTACGAGCCTAGTAGCCCATTAGGCTGGTGCTTAACTCTGATTTCTTTTAGCATGAAGCGACTAGGAGTATTTCTACTCCCCCCTGGATGAGATGCTAGTTCATCGCACGGTTAACCCCAAGATTAATTTGCCAGTACCCATTTATACACCTGGGTGGAGAGAGGCACTGTGAGAGTAAAGTGTCTAGCCTAAGAACTGAACACAATGTCCCGGCCAGGATGCGTTTTGAAACGGTTTGACTCACCCAGTTTGTTATCGTGCGGTCAAGAATGTCTGAGAAACACCTGGTGTAGTTCCACCAACTTCAAGTTGTCCTCCAAGCAGAAAACCATTGAAGGAACTTGTGAACTGAGCAAGCAAGACATTTCTGTTGTGAACGAAAGAAATAACTTTGCTGATCAGGAAGAAACGGTTTTCACATTGCTTTTAAAGGAAAGATTTCCACTGTGCATGTTCTAAGAGACCAGTCATTATTTGTAGCCTGATGGAAGAGCTGAAGGATGGAGGGGGCACGTGGATCACAGGGGGGCGAAGGAGGAAAAATTTGCCGCCAACAGAGTATTAAGGGGGGGGGGGGAAATTGACTGCCAATGAACTGCTAATGAGTGGGGTCATAAGAGAATTACAGAGCCTTCTGAGACTTTAAATTTCCTCGGATGCTCCCCCCCCTTCCCCCGAGATAAATAAAGACTAGTACCTGAGTGCATTGATAGCACATGATAATTTTATGATCCAATCATTTGTAAATATGTACTGATCTAAGTGTTTTTAGTATATACAACGCAGGTGAAAAGTGCTTTTTGCGCGCTAATACGCTAATTCGGAAGCGATAAGCAAATGGGCCTGCCCTAATCGTGCTCGATAACTATTGATCAACTTTTGGTGTTTGGAGTAATTGCATATGGTTCTGGCAGCGTTGATCGAGTAATATTTGCTTTTCTGAGCAATTTTCAAGCAAATTTCAGGTTAAGAGCACATATATCAAACTCATGAAAGTTAACGACTTCAAAGTATGCAATTTCTTTTAATGTTTATCAACCATTTGAACTCATCACCTGTTCCATGACAACGTTTTAGCACTCCAATTTTTTGAGGAGCTGGAGAGTACTGATAGGTGATAAATGGATTTGATAAAAGGGTTAAGTGAAGCGTACATTAATTGTGTAAATAAAATAGGAGAACGAAGCTTAAGGAACCGAGAGATTTTAGAGCTCTATTGATCTGAGTAAAGTAAAGCTCAGCCTTTAGGCAAACAGAAAGCTGAATTAACTTCAGCAGCATTGGAAAAGTAACACATTTGATAGGTTGTATAATTTCCTCAACAACAGAAATGTTGTGTTTGTTCATTTTCAAGTTACTTCTTAGAGGGCAAGTTGAAGATAATTTTGTAGAAGAACACAATGTATTTGTTAGTTATTATTGACTGCATGATAGCGATCCAG